CTTGTGTTTATTGATCCAGAATTGGAGGTGTTGGTGAACTCCACCTTGGCTTCGTCTACTACTCTTGATTCACTTTTGGGCATATGTTAAACCCTGCCTCAGATCTTCCCCCACCCCCCTCTCCCCAACTGCTTCCGGCCCTGAAATGTCTGAGGGCTTACAGGTCGGAGCAGGATGTGGCTTGGCTGTCTCTGGGACCTGACTACTACTGATATGGATGAGGAGTCAGTTGAGCCTACTGGTTCCACCGAGGTTTCAGGGCTCCAGACAGCCCCTTCTCCTGAAACCTTTTCCTTGGACTCCACTTTTCTATCCCAGACGGTGGGCACTGATACTGGAGTTGCCCCAGGTTCTTTGTGATTGGTTTCTGGGGCATAGGGGGAGTCGGATTGGGGCCCCTTGAATTTCCATGGGCCCCAAGTGGGTCTTTGTCCCTTCAGATGAGAGCCTTTTCCTCCAGAGGGTGGGGTTTTCATACCCCCCTTCCTTGTATGACTGATATGAATGCTGCTCCCCTCAGGGTTCATTTCCATGTGCAGTTAGACCCCTCAGAACTGTCCGTGCAGAGGTTTCCTTCCTCTCTCGGTAGCTCGTGAGGATTTCTATGTACTGTATGTACTGTACATACCTCCTACGTTGCCTGGAGTATGCCTCTTTGATGGATCCTGCCTTTGTTGGGTTAGGGTTTTTCTTCTTTCACCTTTTGATTGCGTTATGAGGTCCCAGAGTCATCCAGTCTAGCGGACAGTCTTCTGTTTTTTCCTTGGGGGGGGCTTCGTGCAGCTTTTGTCGTATGCTTGCTCACATTTAGCCTTGGTTTTTGGCCCCCCTTGGAGCTGCACTCTGAGGCACTCATCTCTGGGCCTGGTGCAGGTGCTTTATTGTCTGCTGTGGCATCGTTGGCAGCTTTGACCAAGCTATATGTGACCTGTGGTGTGGGATGCAGTGGCCACTTTCTACGCTGCCTGCCTCATGTGTCAACAGGCTGTCTTAGCCCATCTTTAGAGTCGGCTTTGTCCCTGGCCCTCTTGTTCACCTCGTTTTTTTTCTCTCACGACTCTAGACGATATTGTTGGTCAGTTTTTGTCTTCTGTGGCTGCTTTTTGTTGGCCAATTTCAGACTTGCTTCGTTCTCATGGTTTCTGGTCTCATTCTTGGAGGCGGTTTGGTAGGGCTAGGGGGCATTGCCTGTTGTTGGTCGAAGTAGGCCTGTGGTGAGGCCAGGATTCTGGTTGTATGTACCTCTCATGACTGGTTCGTCCTTAGCTGGTCAGTGCTGTGCTCCTGTTTCATGCAGGGCTCCTTCTACTCATGGTTCACGCCGGTCCTTTTGTGGTTTGCCCCTTCGACAGGGCAGTGGAATATGGGGGGGGTGGTTAGAAGGGCCACTCATTCAGTTTGCTAGCTCCTGGGGTCCTTCTACTTGTGGGCTTTTTGGGTTGTTTCAAGTGGCCTGTGGTGGAGTTGGTTGGTCCTTTCACTATTCTAGGGGCCATGCCCTTCAGGGCAAGCCTGTTCCCTTCATATACTGCATATGCATTGGGTCATTTCAAACCACTTCATCCTTTGCCCCATGTTCCGGATAAACTCTTTGGGCCAGGTTAGGTTTCATTGTGGGGCTTACCACTTTCGGGTTCTTCCCTTTGGCCTGAATCTTGCTTTTTGTGTTTTCATCGGGATGACTTGGGCCATGGTGACTCGTCTTCATTTGTTAGGGGTTGATGCTTTGGTGTACCTTGATGACTAGTTGTTGTTGGCTTTTGTCAGTCTATATGTCTACTAGCCAGGGATCTGGTTCTGTTCCAGCTTGCTGGGTTTGGGGTCCTGATGAAAGTCCTAGTTTATTCCATAAAGGTTTGAACTTGGCTGGACCTTGCGTGGGATTCTTGGTCAACATTGCTTTCTCTTCCTCTGGCAGCTTTGCTTTGGCTGCGGTACAGCTGCCTGCTGGTGTTGGGGCAGCCCCAAGTGACTCGGCAGTTACTCAAGCAGTTGTGTGGGAACTAGAACTTTGCTTGTGTGGGTTTTCCACTGAGCAGGATGTGGCTTTTGTGGCCATCATAACCGGTGGGTGCAGGCCCTGTTTGCTCTTTGCTGCCTGCTGCATCACCGGCTTTCTCCAAGCTTTTCATGGTTCGGTTTCTTAGTGCCTTCCTCTTCCTCACACAACATCTTTATGGGAACTTCAGCTTTGGGTTGAGGCTTTGTTACCAGCACTGGCCAAGCTGCTCAAGGTTATTGGTCTCCTCATCTTCATCAGATGCACAGTACAGTTTGGGAATTTGTGGCTATGTGACGCGCGCTGAGAAGGATTCAGATTCATCTGGGCTCCATGCTCCAGCTGCTTTCGGACTGTGTCCCAGTGGTTTTTGTGTGTGACCCTGGGGGAGATGGAGAAAAAAGGGGAGCTCTCTTCGGTCCGTTTTCCTTTGGAGCTCGATGCTGCAAGTAGCTCATTTGCTCTTTTCTTGGGTTTTGGCTCTGCATGGTTTTTAGGGTGTGACCACTGCTTTTGCAGACAATTTGTCCCACTTCCTTCCCATCTGCACAGAGTGAACTGTATACACCGCCACCTTTCTATGGCTCTGCAAGATGTTTGGGATCCCTGACATGGATTTGGCACCTTACTCTTTATGCGGCTCTATTCCCTGATCCTGAGGCCCTCATAGTGGATTCTGGATGTACTGGCCAATTGGCGATTGGCTCATCCTTGGTTTTTGGTGCTGCTTGTTCGGTGTCTGAACTCTGGCATTTTTCCGCTGCTCCGCCCCTCTCAGGAAATTGGCCCAATGACGTCCCTTGCGGGTTCAACCTCAGCTCTTCGCATCTTGTATTTTGACACTTTTTATCACCATCTTTACTGTAAACAGGTGGCTAAATTGATGGTTTCCTACTTGCGGTTGTCTTCTTGGTGGCGGTATGAGGTTTCCTGGCACTCTTTCTGCTACTTCCTTTCTCTTCATCGTTGCTCTTTGGTTTCCAAGCATGTGGTTTTTGTTTCTTTTTGTTGTTTTTTGATTAGAACTTAATGCCAAATACTGTTACCTCTTGTTGTGGGGTGCTGGCAGAGCTGCTATTGCTTGTGTTCCAAGTTGAAATGTCCTCAACGCTATTTTGTAAGCTTTCTTGTGTACTGTTTCACCTATAGCCTGCTCATGCACTGTTTGAGCCTTGGACTGCATTCTTACTTTTATTTCTGTCTTCCTTCTAGATTTACAGTGTCCCCTTTAGTCCAGGATTCTTTTTCGACAGCACTATTTTTGTTGGTCCTGGCTTCTGGGTCGAGGAGTTTCACTCTTTCCTACAGAGGCGGGGTTTTTGTTCTTTTGACCCTAATGGGCATTTTGTTTTGACTGTAGCCAGCTCCTTTTTTGGCAGAGAGTGAGTCAGCCAGCTTCTGGAGGGGTCCTATGGTTACTGACCTGGTTGATTAGGCCGGGGGGTGCATCATGTGCTGTGCTCGGTGGTGGCTTGTGACTCAGATTCTGTCTTGGTGGGTGCTTTGTGGGTCGGTCCTGTTTATTTGGTTCCCTTCTCCCTGGTGTATCCTTCCTTTTCATCTCCAAGGGTAGTTAGCTTCAGAGCCACAAGAGACTTCCCATCAGAAATCAGCATTGAATGTAATGAAATGTTTATTTCTGGGCAAGCCCTGGTGGTTCCCTGATTTCCCTCTCCCTTTCAGGTCATCAGAACGGGGAGGTTGGGGGGAGGGGGGGTTGTGTGTGCATCTACTCCAGACCTGACTGCTTGAGGCAGTGGACAGTGTGAGCCCTGGTTCTCTCCGTACTCAAATGAGTGGGAGGGATGGGGCAAACAAGCGCACACTTGTTTTGAGAGATTCGATCTTTTGTTTACATTGTTGGAGATATCATTCAGTGAGTTGCGAGGCTTTGGTCCCTTTCGAACCCAGCAGTGGTTTGTATGGGTTTGCTGCCTTTCTGGGTGCCTTCCCAGGTGAGGCATTGGAGTGTCACTGGCTCCCTGCGCCTTTGTGAGGTGGGCCAGGTACTGCCCAGTAGGCAGAACTAAACTCTATGGCTGACACTATCTAGTAGCTGGGAGCCATCTCACCAAGATAGCTTAAGGGAGCCACTGGGACTCTCCCAGTAATTGGCATTTCATGACATTCGATGCTGGTTTTCCCTTAAGATAGTGTTGCAAGACCTCTTGCTACTGAAGTGATTTTTAGCAATTTTCTTTGATTACTTTGTTAATTTTGAATGAAAAGATGTTTATCAGCAGTAGATAGGGAGAGAGGAACTATCTTAATATTGAATATTTGTTAAATAGAATGAGAAAAGTGAGGAAGTCTGGGGAGTGCCAAGTGAAAGGCAACTTATGGTAATAGATATGGACCACTTATTTAAAAGCTCAAATGTAACACACAAGGGGCAACAGCTTCAAACTCGACAAGCCACTATACAGGACAAAAATCAGGATATGTTTTTTTTTCCCCCATGGGCTAATAAACCAACAGAATTGCCTATGACTTAAGCTGTAAATGCTAAAAAATTACTTCAGTTCATAATTCAGCTGGAAAAAATCCTTGGAATATTGAGGGACCTTTGAGAAGCCACTAGCTCCCTGTTCCCATTGAGGCCACTAGACATGGTGGCCCTCAGGTAAATTCATAAAAATTCAGGTAAATTTACATAAATTTTCACTACAGAGTTAACATTAAAATTAACTCTACTCAAAGGCAAGTACAAAAACCAGCGTTGAATGTAATGAAAAGTCATTTTATAGGCGAGACCTGGAGGCTCCCCGGAGCTACTCAGGCTGATATGAACGTATTAGACCATGGCATCAGTGAAGTGAATGGAGTTCTTGCCTACCGGGGACCACGAGCCAGAACCTGGTCCCCTTTGAGAGGTGTGAGGAGCAATGGCCTATAGGAACCCCATGTGGTTGGAAGCATTGTATGTCTGCCATCAACTGGATCAGGCTCAAAAATGTAGGCACCCCAAAACAAACCCTTATTCTGGTTTAAAAAAAAAAAAAAAAAATGCTACTGAAAGCCAAACTATTGCACAGAACTCCCCAAGTGAAAAACCAGCAAACCAGCATGACGTCACAACAGTCACTGCACCACTGTCTGCACCAGTTCCCCCCTCCCCGGGAGGAGAAAGGGGGAGCTCCAGACCCCCCATGCCGGCTATCCATCCCCAGTTCAAAGACTGGATGTCAAAAACTGCGAAAACCGCTGACCGGAGGGAGATAGGGAGGTAGGGATGCTGGGGAGCCTCTGGGTCTCACCCAGAAAATAGCATTTCATTACATTCAACACTGGTTTTCTGAGATAAGCCCCTTCAGCTCCCCAGAGAGACTTACTCGGGAGGCGGTCGTCACTCACTCCTCGACTCGAAGTCGCGACAACTGGCTGCAACCGCCGACTAGAAGCCTGACTAGGGGCCTGGAACATTAACGAGGTAGTGAGTGACCAGGACCCTGTTCGACCTCCAAAAACCCCCGTGCCCAATGTCAGCCCAAGACATTACCAAAGACGGCAGCCAAAGCAGCAAACTTACGAATGTCATGGGCACCAGGACAGACTGCAGGCTGGCTGGACCAAATAACCCTGAGGATGAATTTGGAGACCCGAACCCTGGAACAGGGAAGAAGGGAAACCGGGTCAACCCAAAGTGCATCCCCGGCCACCATGGCTGTGGCGTGCAGGTAACAGTGAAGAGCCGAAACCGGACACAACACATGATGCACCCCTGGCTGAACCAACCCAGCATCCACAACCCAAGGACCTCTCTGGAAAGCAGCAGTCTCATTCCATCTAGAAAAGAGGAAGACGGCTGCAAATGAACAAAATTACCACCAGGACCAAAAGAGCAGAAACCTCTGTGCAGGAGAAGAGCATGAAGCTTCCCAACCTGACTTGTAGAGGCCAATGCCAACAGGAAAAAAAAAAATTCAAAAAATAATCCTGAACTGAAGGGGCCTGCGCAAACCGAGAAGACAAAAAAGAAAGCACCCGGTCCAACAACCAGAAAGACTCAGGCGGCACATGAGACAGCTTGCAGAATGGAGCAGAAGTAACATCCACCCCGAACGCAAGCTGAAGCAGCTTCGCCAGGGCAGCACAATATGAGGCGACAGTATTCGGCATAAGATGACGGTCCTAAAGTAACCAAGAAAGGAAGGACAAGACAACCCAATCCAATACTGAAGAAAACTTATGGAGGGACAAAAAATAACGAAAAGACCGCCAGGAAACTTCATACAGTACTGCCGCCTAGACGAAGCACGCTGGTGGGACACCATTAACGAAACCACCTGTACACCATACAAATGGTGATAGACCCGCATTAGAAAAAACAGACCTGAAGACTTGAGGAGAAGATCGAACCATCCACGTAACGAACTGGCCCGATCCGCTGAAAGAGGTGGAGCTGCAAGAAGACCCCCGGGGTTCGGACACTGAGCAAGCAGCGCCTGAAGCCAAGGCTGGGCCAGCCACCAAGGAGCCAACATGACTACTGTCCCTTGGTACATCTCAAAGCGAGCCAGGACCTGGAGCAATAGCAGGACTGGGGAAAAGCGGCACAACTCCACCTCGACCAGTCTTGCCTGAAGGCATTGACCCCGACGGTCTCGCAGTCGGGGAAGGGCGACACATATCGGAAGATGCCTTGATCACGCCGACACGAAGGTCCACCTCCAGGAGCCTGTAAGTCTGGCAGAGTCAACTGAACGAATCGGCGTCGACCTTCCTTTCCGAGGACAGGGAAATGATCCAGGACAGGCCATCCGCCAGGACGTTGAGTGCCCCCCCAAAAGTGAACGACCAGGAGAGCCCAACCCCAAGAACACAGTGGTCGAGTCACCCAAACTGACGAGCCCCAAAGAGCCAAGGATTGCATCGAATCCCCACGGTTCAGGCAATGAACCACTGGAGTAGCAGTTCGAACAGACCCAGATCGGCGCCTCGAGTGACCCTAATCCTTCAAAACGACATCCACACAGCTGCGAGCTAATGCACCGTGCTGTGGGCTCGACGGAAGGACAGACCCCACCGACCCTGGCCAGCCTGGTGAGCATTGGTCACAAAACTCCAGCCAAGAGCCGATGCATCTGTGAACATATCGAGCGAGGACTCAGGCAGGCGCCAAGACACTAGACCCCAAAAAAATCTAAGAGGAAGCCGATGATGCAGCAGTCAACGTAAGGTACCCGGAGGCTGAACCCAGCGATTGCGAGAGAGGAAGGAACCAGAACAGGTTCCCCAAAGGAACAAAAACAGCTGACGAAGCAAAACCCAGCCCTGCAGGTAGACCATCACAGCAAAGTTTGGACTCTTGCACAGACCTTTGAGAAATCGCCTTGTAGTTCGGAAGCCCTCTGGAAACAGCTGAAGGCGGGACCGCAGCTGCAGCAGAGCCTCTGGAGGAAGAGACAAGGAAGCAGTCTGAGAGTCCCACACAAGACCCAGCCAAGACTAAACCTGAGAGGGAACCATCCAGAACTTTCTCCAGTTCACCGAGAACGCAAACCCAGGGAGCTGGGAAAGAATCAAATCCCTGGCAAGCAGGCACGCAAACTGGATGGGAGCCCCACACCAGCCCGTCAGCGAGGTAGGCCAGGACCTGAACCCCTAACAAACACAACCGGGCCACCACAACCCGGGTAAGGCGCATGAAAACGCAAGGCGCCAGATTCAAGCCGAATGGAAGGCAACAAAAGTTACTCCTGGCTCGTACACCACCCCAGAATAGGACCACACTACAAGGTACGGCACTGGAATGTCAGGAGCTAGAGTCGCACAACTGCCTGGTCTCACATCAGCCCGAGAACTGGGGATAGATAGCCGGCACAGGGGGTTCTGGAGCTTCCCCTTCCCCTTCCCAGGGGAGGAGGGGGAGGTGAGCTGTGCAGACAGAGGTGCAGTGACGGTTGTGACGTTATACTCGTTTTTCGTTTAGGCGTTCTGTCCAATAGTTCTGTTTTCATTACCAATTAATTTTTTTAACCAGGTAGGGTTTGTTTTGGGGCGCCTACCTTTCTAGGTACCTGACCGGGTCGATGGCAGAAGACAGAATGCTTCCAACCACATGGGGGTTTCTATAGGCCATTGCTCCTTGCACCACTCTAAGAGGGCCAGGTTCTGGCTCGTGGTCCCTGGTAGGCAAGAGCTCCATTCGCTTGACTGATGCCACAGTCTAATACATTCATATCAGCCCGGATAGCTCAGGGGAGCCATAGGGGCTCCCCCAGAAATAGTTTTATCTATTTATGCTATAATTTTTATATGTTCTTTCTCCCAATTTTACCTTCAAGTTCAGGTATGTTTAAGTGCATTTTATTGGTACATATTTTTCCTGTCATTATATGCCCAAAGTTGTCTTCCATCATTGGGGGTTAGGATGGCAAACAATCTTGCAAATGAAGAGTAAAAAAGCAAAGGGAAACCCTCGGCAGCCCAGAATCCTTGGAAGAACCGAACAGGTCCATTTCTAATTAACCCGTTAAATTTGGGTACCATAGTACTACTGTACTAAAGCCATTGGAAGTCGAGCCTTCTATTTCAGACAATTCTTTCAGGCCCTCCAAGGATTCCAGATTCACTGATATGTTTGTGTAAGGTTACACTGAAATTTTAATGACTAAATTTTGGGGGATGTTTATGAAGAGGAAAAATATATATTCATGGTTTAATGTAATTAATGAGAGAACTTTTTTTTATCCCTAACCAAATGAAATGAAACATGGAAAAGGAACTAAACTTTTTTAAAATGTGGTATTAAGAGAAGTGAGAATACAAGCAGCAAAGAACTGCACATCAGTGGCTAAGAATGCTTAAGATAATGCCTACAAGTACTGTACTTTGAAATTATTTGGCCATGCAAGGAGAATGTCAGATGACAATGCAAACGAAGGAGGGAGACAAAGGGATTTAGGAGAGAGGAACGAAAATGCCATTCTGCAATTGGGGTATCATATGGAAAGAGTAGCAAAATGCCACGAGTTTAATTATTGATGGTAGCACATTTGAATTAAATGGCTTTGAAAACTTTACATGATATTGAGTCCCTCATGGAATACTGTATTAGGAGATTGACTATATAGCTACCCATTGGGTAGTTGTCTATTCCTGTTTTCTTCACCTTCACACTGAACTTACAAAACTGTGATTCCCTACTCTCTATTACCGCCTTCCTTACTCTTGCCTCTTTCTGGAGGAGCCTCCTTGGTGGTGTCCTGAGGCTATCTTGCCGAGATTACTTCTATCTACTAGGTCACAACAGTCACAGGAGTTCTGTTTGACCTACTGGAGACCAGAGCCAGAACCTGCCCCTATCAGAAAGATGCAGATAAGTGGCATTATGCCATCCCACCAGGAAAGCATCCAGAAAGTTAGAGAGGCAGTATAGATAATTGCAACGTTCACAGGAACTGAAGCCTCGCAAGCCGTCAAACAACTCTCCAAACAAAATGATCACATCACTTAACTAACTTGAACCAATTAGTACCAACAAACTGCCACCAGGAGGGGGAAGGGGGTCTGGAGCCCTGGGGCCAGATTTACGAAACAGTTACACAAGTACTTAAGAACGTGTACATCTTTATTCAATCTTTGAAGGCTTTGGTTACATTTATTAAACAGTTTACAAGCATGAAAACTTCCCAATCAACTGGGAATTGTTATAAACAGCCTCCTAGTGCTTTGGAGCTCATTAACTGTTTAATAATTGTAAACAGAGCCGCAAAAGATTGAGACAAGACGTACAGGTTCGTAAGTGCTTGCGTAACTGCTTCGTGAATCTGGTCCCTGGCTCTGTCAACTCTCAGTTGACAGAGTCAGTTCTGACAACATTCTCAGTCAGTTCTCAGTAAGTTCTGTTGCTGATGTGTTGTCATCAAGACCACTGTAGTGCTCCTGGGTTCCCACTGTTGCACCCCACCCCCTTCCCCCACTTCTCGGCTAAATACCAACCATCCTTGGACTTTGTTCTGTGGGGGCCATTTGCTTTAGTATTGTTTCAGTTTGGTATTTTCTTTATGACTCAGCTTGTGGACTTGGCTCTTTTTGTGCTCCGAGCTGCAGTGTTCAGCGCTGCCGCTGCATTGACAGTTACTTTTTTCATAGTAACTTTTCTCATTTTCCATCTGTGTCCTCTGAGAATTTTGTAGGTAGTGATCATATCTCCCCTAACTCTTCTGTCTTCCAGTGTCGTGAGGTTCAGTTCCAGTAATCTTTCCTCATAGCTCATTCCTATCAGCTCGGGGACTAGTCTGATGGCATACCCCGGAACCTTTTCGAACTTTGTTTTGCGTTTGACTAGATGTGGACTCCACACTGGAGCTGCATATTCCAATATTGGAATACTGTTGCTTGCATTCAGTGTTGATACCTCTTTGGTGGTGTTCTGCACGTTGTCTTGGGAGTTCTTTCACCTCTACCCTGCTCAAACTCCTCGTGAGCTATCTTGGTCACTCGACCATGACTTCATCCTTCTGTCTTCTTCTTGGCTTATGACTTACCTTATGGCCTCTTATCTCTACTTCACTTAGTATCTGCCTTCTCTCGTGCTCCCTGGTAAGTACTTTCTTTTTCTTCTCCATGGTTAGTTAGCTTAAGGGTGCTACCTAGGAGCTTCTCCAGAAACATATCATTGAATGTAATGAAATGTCTCTTTCTGAACCGAGCCCCGGTGGCTCCCTAATGCCCTCCCTCTCTTCAGGCTTGTCATTTGGTGAATGTGGGGTTTATCTGCTCCAGAACTGACTTGAGAGCTGGTGGAGGGTTGGGATTTCAGGCCTCCATGGCAGCAGTTTGTTGGTACTAACAGTTTTGAGCTAGTTCCCAGTTATTCAATCATTTCAAATGAATTGTTCGGGGAGTTGTTTGGCAGTTTTAAAAGCTACAGTTCCTACAAACCTTGCAGTTGCCTGTATTGCTTTGCTAACTTTCTGGATGCTTTGCCGGTGGGGTTGTGGAATGTCACTCACTCTCTGCATTTCTACGGTAGGGAAAGAGGGGGCCAGGTCCAGGCTGTGGTCCCCAATAGGCCAAACAGAACTCCCATAAATGATAGGGACCTAGTGGATAGGAGCAATCTCAGCAAGAGAGCTTCAGGGAATCCATGGAGCTCAATCCAAAAAGATGCCTTTCATTATGCTGGGTTTATTCTTCTTCCCTAATTCCTCTCTTGCATGTGCTTGCCAAGGCAATTTTATTGTTTTCTTGTTTTCAATTCTTGTTTTTCAGTGCAAATAAGTGGTAATTGCTTCACTTTCATGATAACCAATTCAGCATGTAGAATAGTTATACACATGCTTTAAGTGTTCCTTCAAGAGTTTAACATGCTAAAGAATTTTACATTTCTGGAGAAAATTCTACATGTAACTGTCTGCTTAAGGATATTGAATATCCAAAGATAGCTCTGACAGATAAACACAGCCAATAAGAAGGTAGAATCTTGGCTTACATGTAACAATTGTAGTTAGTCCTTAAAGATATATACTGTAATATTCATTTCAGCTTAGCAAGTTAGAAATATTAATTTTTTTGTAGAGATGAAGCATCAAATGACCTCAAGCATCACAATGGGGTAAAGATCGAGTTGTGTTAATTACTAAGGTGCCACTTATACCTGTCTTTCTATTTCTGGTTCTTCCCTTATTGTCCAAGTTTTACTGTGGTACTACTTATTTGTTACTCATTCTCAGTGTAAGCAAGTTACAGCTGCTTCACTTATGTAAGTGTAAACAATCTCATGTCTTGAGACTCTACAGGTATAAATATTCCACGAGGAATATTTATACATGGCTTTCCCAAATGTGTGTAAATACACTATGATGCATATGCGCAGGAAAACATTATCCTAATCTTTATAATCAATGTTTTCATACAACGAGCTATTTGGATGCTGTCCAGCAGAGACCGAGAAGATTTACTACTGCATTATGTAACATGTAACATTAGTTATACAAAATAAATGCAATACTTGGTTTGCATATTTTAGGTTGCATGCAAACGTGCTAAAGCTCCAAATTTTCTTAACAGAAAACCAGTCACAATTTTCAACTGTTCTATCTACAGGGTGATAAATGAAACAGATAGATTACTTGCAAAGTTTGACTAAAATCAGTGATGCCATCACTTAGTACATTTAAAAAAAGTGCAACACACGGTTGTACACTGGTTTTCACAGACTTTAAATATTTAAGCACCTTATCTAACCTACAAAAACTGCCATTAAGCAAATACAACTTAAAAATTATAGAACTCAAATGACTCAAGATTATATTATTCACATAGCAAGAGTCCAATGTTGCTTTGTATCAGGTGATTGAATGAAAGGCAAAACCTAGTAAAGCATGATGACTAAAACCACAAAGAACCATTCTAAAATGGGACGGTACACCCCCAATACAGCTGGCAGAACACGACGAAACTCTCAATATACAAAACATTTGCTCAGGATACTATTAAATTTCACTGAACCACATCCACTCGTGTAAAATATCTTGATGTTAAGAAACAGGTCATACACATGTATGTGTGTATATATTTACATGCTCTTAACACCACTTGCATATTTTTCACCAGTGTTGGTGATGCACATGGAGTGGCATCAACCAATTAAAAACCTATGTGAAAAAAGTAAAAACTACTAATTATTAATTAAATTAGGAACTGGACAGTACCCCCCGAGACTTAATCCCCCCTCAACCGAAATTTTGTCGAGTCTATTTTACATGAGAGGAAATTCTAAAGCTCGAGAAAACTCGGTATCAATTTTGGTTATGGGAGGGTAGGAAAAAGGTTTGGGGAAATATTGTAGTACGGGGATAGTACTAATGTCATGAGAGGGAGGAGTGTGATAGGGGAATAATGCCGTGAGAGGGAGTAGTATGATGGGGGGATAATGCCGTGAAAGGAAGTATTTTGATAGGGGGATAATGCCGTGAAAGGGAGTACAGTATTGTGATAGGGGGGATAATGCCGTGAGAGGGAGTATTATGATAGGGAGATAATGCCGTGAAAGGAAGTATTGTGATAGGGAGATAATGACGTGAAAGGAAGTATTGTAATAGGGGGATAATGCCGTAAGAGGGAGTAATTGTGATAGGGGATAATGCCGTGAAAGGGAGTATTGTGATAGGGGGATAATGCCGTGAAAGGGAGTATTGTGATAGGGGATATTGTAATGGGAGGGAGTATTGTGGTATGGGGATAATGCTATAAGCGTCTATTGTGGTACAGGAATGATACCATGGGAGGGGGTATTGTGTGTATGAGGGGTATAGTCCCAGATACAATTAAATCATAAATAATGTTATGATTGGTAAAATATGAGTGGTATCAAATGCAGATAACTGTCATTATACATCTTATACCATGTTTCTGCACAACTTGACAAAATCTGTGCCATCATCATCATGCAAATTATAATATAACAGCAAAATAGCATTAACAAAAACAGATGATCAATAAAGTTCAAACATAAAATACAGTGAGATGATAGTGGATATTTTATCCATCAAGCTGTTGGACATGCAACTGCATCACACTCAAGTCAGACAGTGTTCTAATATTAAGTGTTTTCCTTCAGCAAAAGGGAAGGTAACTTTACCGTTCAAAATTTATCTCAATCTACACCAAAGGCTTTGTCGTCCACTACATATTTATATTACACCATTCTATAGTCCTGTGGTACACCAATAGATTTATTCAAATATTTGCAACATGGAGTAATCACAGTTCATGCTTGCCACAATCGATTAAGAAATGTTTGTGATACCAGGAAGCTTAACTCGGATATCCTGCATCTTTCTTAGTTAGCCAAAATGCTCGGGTTATGCCATCACCATAAATCTATACAACTATTATACAAAAATATGAATAGCAAGATTTTCTGTACATAGTCACACAGTTTAACTTGGTTTTATTCAGCAAAGTGCAGAATGTAGTTATCACCTCTTTGCAGATTGTAAGTGGTCTGTTAAAAGCAGTTACACAAGACTTTTCATTCTATGCTAATAATCTGATTTGTTAATATCAAGTTACAGACTGCATGACAATGGTTGGCTGAGGCAATAGCAAAGATTCCCTAACATATATACAAACTTCTGCCGACTCATTTACTCACACATACGCTAGGCCTACAAATATAAACAGGTGCATACAGTACATTCAAATGTAAATAAAAAGATCATACACAAAATGCATGCCAACACTCATGTTCACAAACAAATATAATCATACAAATATGCACTCATAACACAATTATATACCTAAACACACACATACACATGCACAAAATAGCATACATATAAATTGGACACATGTTATTTGACTGTGTTAGGGTGAAGAGATTACAATTACACTTAGACGACATGCATGACTGCTATGAACTTATAAAAGATAAAACTAACTCATTCCTGGGCCACATACTGTATGTAGTTTGCATATGTTTATGAATTTATGTATGTGTATGAATATGTATGTACTGTATATATATATATATGCAAGTACCATAAACCATGTCCTCAAGCTGTCAATACAGAATGAAAGGGTGAATGAATAATCTGACACAATAAACAACGGTAGACAGCCAGCTATGGAGTGATTAGCGAACAAGTAGAAACTTGTGTATACGAGAGAGAGCATTTACGGGTTAGGTTGTGTACTATTGATGCACCTCAGCAAGATTCAGTCATCTGTACCATGCTACATACAGCACCATACTGGCCCAGCTACTACTGAACTCCTCAACATCAGGGAGCAAAAGGCCTTAAAAAACACTTCTGTGTAGTGCTCCACTTGTATGCTCAGTGGGTACAGCTCCGCTTGTATGCTCAGTGGGTACAGCTCCGCTTGTATGCTCAGCGAGTACAGCTCCGCTTGTATGCTCAGCGAGTACAGCTCCGTTTGTATGCTCAGCGAGTACAGCTCCGCTTGTATGCTCAGCGAGTACAGCTCCGCTTGTAAGCACAGGAGTACAGCTCCACTTGTAAGCACAGGAGTACAGCTCCACTTGTAAGCACAGGAGTACAGCTCCGCTTGTAAGCACAGGAGTACAGCTCCACTTGTAAGCACAGGAGTACAGCTCCACTTGTAAGCACAGGAGTACAGCTCCACTTGTAAGCACAGGAGTACAGCTCCACTTGTAAGCACAGGAGTACAGCTCCACTTGTAAGCACAGGAGTACAGCTCCACTTGTAAGCACAGGAGTACAGCTCCGCTTGTAAGCACAGGAGTACAGCTCCGCTTGTAAGCACAGGAGTACAGCTCCGCTTGTAAGCACAGGAGTACAGCTCCGCTTGTAAGCACAGGAGTACAGCTCCACTTGTAAGCACAGGAGTACAGCTCCACTTGTAAGCACAGGAGTACAGCTCCACTTGTAAGCACAGGAGTACAGCTCCACTTGTAAGCACAGGAGTACAGCTTCCATACAATTCTCTTATTTTTAACAATACTTTTATCAAGAAAATCAGTAGGAGCCGTGACGAGGATTGGAACCTTTGTTGTGGGTACACCCTAGCAAATATTTGTATCATACAGTATAATCCATCTAACCACCCAGCTGATGCCTCACTCATTCTAGTGACAATTACCACACTTTCTACTTGGCTTCTATCATTCTAATTATAATAATGAGCATTCTCTCTCTCTGTTCCCTACTTAGCCTCTTTCGTTATAAATGACAAACACTCTCTGCCTTTCTCATCTAATGTAATACTGTACCTTCTAATGATTAATATTAAAAGTATATATTTGTTATTGCCATTGAACTTTTGAGTCCTAATTTATGCTTAGGCCAATTTCCAGCAAAGGTTATATATGCTTTTGCATTCATTTGACATTGGACACACTCCTGCAAACATCCTCTGCTTGCTAAACACTAATTTGACATGACTGACTGCACACCCATGCAAAAATGTATTACATTTAATAATCTTGAATGATAATAACAATGAAATCACTAAACATCGATGTTGATTCATGAATTGTTTTTATCAACCCTATTAATTGCTCTATCAAAAATTGCAAGTAACCAATTTTTGTAATTTGTTTTAAAAATTTTGACTTTTAAAAGTAACCTGTAAAAATACAAATAAAAATTTCTGCCACTTTTTACACTGTATTTTGTTCTGACGGAAATGTTCCATTGCTGATAAAGACCAGGTAGTGCTAAGTGAAATGGAATGGAAAAAAAAAAAAAAAATAAAAATAAATTCTACAGTGCAAATGAAGGACACTCAAAGAAGATAGCCAACACCTTTACTTACTTTTTAGTATTTTTAGGCTTGCTTATCACCTTGATGCTTACATTCTGTGTGCAGATAATGATGGGAGCTGTCAGAGATCTTTGATTCACTGCTAATGACATTAATTTGACATACCTACGCTTTATTATGTTAGATGTTCATGTTGTTACGAGTATTTATGCCTGTACTTACTTCTTTATACTTTGAGGCTTGTTTTTCCTGATGATGGCATTCTGAGCACTGCTAACTATTGGATTATCTGGGAATTTAATAAGAAGCTTCTGCCCACAAAACTCGTAACCTTGTAACACCTCCATGGCACGACCAGCCGCAGCCTTGTCTGCATAATTTACAAAAGCGCAGTATTTTTCTTTCAGAAGACGGACACTAGTAACACGACCTTGTCTGGAAAGAAAGAGATATAATTAATAATTGAGATGGGGTGTGACGGGAAGTTAAGAAAAGGGAGCAGCAGTTGGGTCGGTTTGTGTGGGTGCAATTGCAAGATGAGAACTACAATCATGGTTTCCCCAATTTCCTAATAATCTATGCCAAAAACTGCTCTATTAAAAAAAAATCTTATATTTTTTGGTACCTTTATTTTCTTAGCTTGAATCTATGGCCTCTTGTTCTGAAAGTTGTAGATTTAACAAATTCCTCCTAAGCAGCACTGTCAATTCCGATCATGATACAGAGGAACCTCGGGTGACGAGCAGCCCCATCTACGAGCATTTCAGGTATCTAGTGAGCTACTTGCAGAAAATTTGTCTCAATTGACGAGAAAACCACTTGGTGAGTCCTCGTGTTCCCGATGGTTCTCGCAAATTCTCGGACGCCTCCAACAACAGTGTTGTTGTTTTATTGAGCAAAATAAGCATACCTCTGCATTTTTTTCTGTGGTTTTGTAACTACAATTTGTAACCCACGATGTTGCCAAAGAAGCTGTTTGCTAAAGATAGTGTTGTCAAGGGAAAGGTGGAGGGGGGGGGGGGAATGGATGAATGGATGGTGGAAGGGGAGTGGATGGTTGAGGGGGGAAATGGATGGATGGATAGATGGAGAGGGGAGTGGATGGATGGATGGAGGGTGGAGAGGGGGGAATGGATGGATGGATGGATGGTGGAAGGGGAGTGGATAGATGGATGGTGGAAGGGGAGTGGATGGATGGTGGAAGGGGAACTGGATGGATGGATGGATGATGGAAGGGGGGGACTGGATGTATGGTGGAATGGGGGGACTGGATGGATGTATGGTGGAAGGGGGGGACTGGATGGATGGATGGTGGAAGGGGGGGACTGGATGAATGGATGGTGGAAGGGGGGGGACTGGATGGATGGATGGTGGAAGGGGGGACTGGATGGATGGATGGTGGAAGGGGGGGACTGGATGGATGGATGGTGGAAGGGGAACTGGATGGATAGTGGAAGGGGGACTGGATGGATAGTGGAAGGGGGACTGGATGGATGGTGGAGGGGGGATTGGAGGGATGGATGGATGGTGGAGGGGGGACTGGAGGGATGGATGGATGATGGAAGGGGGACTGGATGGATGGTGGAAGGGGGACTGGATGGATGGTGGAAGGGGGACTGGATGGATGGTGGAAGGGGGACTGGATGGATGGTGGAAGGGGGACTGGATGGATGGTGGAAGGGGGACTGGAGGGATGGATGGATGGTGGAGGGGGGACTGGAGAGATGGATGGATGGTGGAGGGGGGACTGGAGGGATGGATGGATGGAGGAGAGGGGGATTGGAGGGATGGATGGATGGAGGAGGGGGGGATTGGAGGGATGGATGGATGGATGGTGGAGGGGACTTTTTTTTTTTAATTATTTTCTACCACAGACGTGGCCACACATTTACAATGCTAACCAGCATATATACATTTTCTTCTGTCCTCCATGGACAGGGTTAGAGAAGTGTTAGACATATAGTTCAAGGGTTTATTGAACACTCAACCACAGAAGGTGATTCGGTACTTTTAAAATGCTAAGCTAACCTACATACGTAAATACATAGATACACAGATTTACGTATGCCCTACATAAAGTGTGGAGGGGACTCGATGGATGGTGGAGGGGGGACTAGATGGATGGTGGAGGGGAGACTAGATGGATGGGAGGGGGGGACTAGATGGATGGTGGAGGGGGAACTGGATGGATGGATGGATGGATAGAGGGGGGGGGACTGGATAGTTGGATGGATGGTGGAGGTGGACTGGATAGATGGATGGATGGTGGAGGTGGACTGGATAGATGGATGGATGTTAGAGAGATGGGTAGCAAAGTGGGTGGAGAGGCAGGCAGCAGTGTGTGCAGGCAGGCAGTAGTGAGATGGTTGACAGAGCTGGTCACCCTCCGCACTACCTCCATCCCGCACCTTCCACGTTACCTCCATCCCCCCATCCCGCATCCTCCCTGCTACCGCCATCCCCCCATCCTGCATCCTCCCTGCTACCTCCATCTCCCCAAATTCACAAGAGAGCCCAGCCTGCTTGACTCAGAGGTGGATTCTCCTTCCACACCATAACCCCTCTCCTCCTCCTCCTCCCTCCATCGTCTCCCTCAAGCCAGCAACGATTCTTCATAAGATAAACTACAATTGAAAACAGTAAAACAAAACATTTATAATAATTACATGTATTATAATTACATTATAAAAATTCTCATTGATGTTTTTCGGGGGTGGAACGGATTAATTGTATTTCCATTATTTTAAATGGGGAAATTAGTTTCGCAAAACGAGCTCAGTGCCGGAACAAATTAAATTCGTTAACCGAGGTTCCTTTGTATTTTACAGGTGATCATATCGCCTCTACTCCTATTTACAGTACAAAATTAGCTTTTACATATTAATGCATTTAACCTCTACTCATCGCTCTTATATTTTAGGTCTGTTCCACCTGCCAAATGTCTTGCAGAGCCAAGGGAACGATGCATCATCGATGGTCTACTCTGTAGAAATGGGATGGAAGTAAGATAACCAGTCTGTGAGAATGTTGGACACACCCCACACATGAGCTGCGCAAAGAACTAAACACTGAGAATCCAGAAACCAAGCTAACTGAAGCATCCAACTCTAGAGCAATGGACCGAAGCGATCATCTCTGTCCAGGCAATGAACCACCGGAGTGCTATTGAAGGTGGAGCCCAAAGGATGCCAAATCTTCCTCATGCTATACAGCTGCAAATTCACACAGCATACTGTGCATCCTCAACCCTGGGCAGCCTTTTCATGAAGTTCCAACCCAGTGCTGAGGCATTCATAAACACACCGAGTGATGGGGGTGGATGGAGCAATGAAACTGAACCCTGAAAAGCCTCAAGATGAAGTTGGCAAAGCAAGAGCTGATGAAGGGCAGGTGGGGCCTGAACCTGATAGGCATGGGAATGCCAAAGTAGGTGGAACCTGAGAAACCAGTATAATGCCCAGAGTCAGACTCTGCCCAGCAGAAAAACCCAGCCCAGCCAAGTTTGAACCTGGTAAAGAACTAACTAGAACTTCCTCCAGTTCATCAGCAACCTAAACACGGGGAGCTGGGAAGAGCCAGATCCCAGGCCAGCTGGCACACGTACTGACCTGAAGTCGACACCAGCCAGTTGTCATGGTATGCCAGGACAATAAACCTTAAGAGATGTATCCAGGCCATAATGACCCTGTGTGAACTTGGGCAAAAGTGGTCATGCAAAAGGTCAGACAAAGAATGATGCTGTCCATTCCTTGAAGGTTAAGTATGCACCATAGGTGAATCCTCAATCTTTATAGACATCCTCAATGTCTATAAAGCTTCGTTGACTTTCTGGATGCTTTTCCCAGTGGGGTGGTGAATTGTTACTCATTCCCCTGCACCTATGTGAAGATAATGCCATTTAAAGAATACATTTTTAATTACATGAACTTTAATGTGTTGCCACACTACGCTTTATATTTCTTAACCTAGTGCTTACATGCTCATACAGAACTCTCCACCAAGCCATCTCTCTTTCCGTACCTAGAACTCTTCACCAAGCCATATAGCTTTCAGTACTAAGAACTGATATTGGCATGTAGACTGAAGTACTGTAGTACCAAACCCCTTTCAACTTTACCAAATGAGGCTAATTACCTAACAATTAGTACAAAAAACCAGCGTTGAATATAATGAAATGCTATTTTCTGGGTGAGACCCGGAGGCTCCCGGAGCTTATCCAGGCTGATATGCTAATGTCAGACTTTGGCATCAGTCATGTGTATGGAGTTCTATGGGCCTACCAGGGGCCATGAGCCAGAACCTGGCCCCCCTCAGAGAGGCATGGGGAGCAATGGTCTATAGAAACCCCGGTGTGGTTGGAAGCATTCTGTGTCTGCCATCGACCTGGTCAGCACCCAGAAAAGCAAGCGTCCCAAAACAAACCCCTATTCTGGGTAAAATTTGCTTCCAAAAGCCGAACAAGTGGATAGAACTCCCCAAAAACAAACTATCAAACAAGTATGACGTCACATGTCGCCACGCCGCTGTCTGCACAGCTTCCCCCTCCCCGGGAGGGGGAAGGGAGAGCCCCCAGACCCCCATGACAGCTATCCACCATCAGTTCTGAGGCTGGACATCAAAAACGCGAAAAAAAAAAACACCGACCAGGGGAAGGGAGGGAGGGGTGCCGGGGAGCCTCCGGGTCTCATCTAGAAAATGGCGTTTCATTACATTCAACGCTGGTTTCCTGGGGGAAGCCCCTTTGGCTCCCTGGAGCTACTACCCACAGAGGAAAGTAGAGGGACTTACCCGGGAGGCGGTCGCTGCTTACTCCTGAACTCGAAGTCGATACAACTAGCTGCAACCGCCGACCCAAAGCAACACAGGCCCGACTAGGCCCAGGAATGTTCACGATATAACGAGCAGCCAGGATGCTGTTCAACAGCCAAAATCCCCGCACCCGAAAGTCAGCCCAGGACATGTTGCCAAAGACGGCGGCAAGAGCAGCAAACTTGCAAACGTCATGGGCACGGGGATAGACCGCAGGTTGGCTAGCCTTAATAATCCTGCTGCCAACCTGGGAAACTCGCACCTGCGAACAGGGAAGAAGGGAAACCAGATCAACCCAAAGCACATTCCCGGACACAGAAGCCGTGGACCGCAACTGGACACAAAACATGATGCACCCCTGGCTTAATCAACCAAGCATCAACAACCCAAGGACCCCTCCAGAAAGCAGCAGTCTCATTAAATGAACAAATCTGCAAGGGCCATGACGAGGGTTCGAACCTATGTCCGAGAGGATCCCAGACGCTGCCATAATTGTCTGAGCTACGACATGGTAAAAGAATCGCAACTAGGAAATCATTCCGATTTACCAACGGTTCCTGCAGTCTATCCGAGACACAAACCAGGGTTTTACGCAATTCCCCCATGCACCTGGTCGGCCGAGCGGACAGCACGCTGGACTTGTGATCCTGTGGTCCTGGGTTCGATCCCAGGCGCCGGCGAGAAACAATGGGCAGAGTTTCCTTCACCCTATGCCCCCTGTTACCTAGCAGTAAAATAGGTACCTGGGGTGTTAGTCAGCTGTCACGGGCTGCTTCCTGGGGGTGGAGGCCTGGTCGAGGATCGGGCCACGGGGACACTAAACAGCCCCGAAATCATCTCAAGATAACCTCAAGATAACCCGAGCTATGTCAATAGAATGTTCTACCTCTTCATCCTTACTTCATTACACACAGAAATCACAACAGCATGATGTATCAAATGAACAAATCCACAAGGGCGAGGGTTCGAGCCTTGTCACGGCCCTTGTGGTTTTGTTCATTTGATGCATCACGCTATTGTGATTTCTCCGGAGGAAGAAACGGGGAAACTCCGGAGGAAGAGACAAGGAAGCGGTCCGAGAGTCCCACACAAGACCCAGCCATGTCCGAACCTGGGAGGGAACCAGATGGGACTTCCTTCACTTCATCAAGAACCCGAACCCGGCGAACTGGGAAAGAACCAAGTCCCTGGCTAGCAGACAAGAGGACCGGCTGGGAGCCCAAACCAGCCAGTTGTCGAGGTAGGCCAACACCCGAACACCTATGAGATGCAGCCACGCCACAACGATCTGCGTAAGGCATGTAAACACGCGAGGTGCCAGATTCAACCCAAATAGAAGACAACGAAAATGGTAACCCTGATGCCCTACAACAAAACCGAGCCAGTCCCTGAACCCCGGATAAATCGGGATGTGCCAATAAGCGTCCTGTAAGTCCAGGGACACCATCCAAGAGCCCGGCTTCAATAGGAGCCGAATCTGGGACAGAGTAGTCATCCGGAAGGAGGGGCAATGAACCCAGGGGTTCAGACAGGACAAGTCCAGAATGAACCTCAGGTCTGCACAGTCCCGTTTCGACACTGGGAACAGATAGGAGACCCATCTGAGGGACTTCGTCATTTCGACCACGCCCAAGCGAACCCTCTCAAAGACGACTCGACGGAGCGCAGGAGAAGAGGCCTGCCCTGCCAGCCCCGAACCCCCCAAAGGAGGAGGGGCGACCCAACGCCACCTCAGGCCGAAAGAAACGCCCTGAAACGCCCACAAATCATGGCACCAGGCATGAGCGAACAGCGCAAGCCTCCCCCCATCGTCCCGTCAATGGGGCGAACCGCGAAAGGGCCAGTGTCTCTTACAAGATTCAGAACCTCGCACAGAGCGAACACCGTGCCGACCAGACGAAGGCAGGTTCGAAGGCGGCGCTGGACCCGAAACTGGCACCTGTGGCCGACCTCGACGTGAGGAACCCCGAGCCCTGGCACGACTCCTCTGGGAAGGTCCCCCCCCCCCGGGACCCCCAAGAGAACCAACAAGTCAGACATAGGGTGACAAGTAGCCGAAGCAGCCTGTATATACTGCGCCACAGCAGAATCCCTCAAAAAGCAGAGGACAAAAAGGCAAAGACATCCTAAGAGCTAGGGCCCAGGCCAATTCCAAGAAGGAGGCAGGAACCGCCTGCCATCATGCGTGCCGGGAAGTATAAAACAGTGAAACCACATCCCACAAGATCGGGGCAAAGAGCTTCAACAAGGCAGCTGATGAGCGAGCCGCCGAGCCCAAGGCACCGGACCCAGGAACGACCCCAAGCGTCCCCACATCATCCTCAAGCCAGTTTGAAGACAGCTCCAGGAAAAGAAACGCAAGGCCGAAGTCAAGAGGCCCCCAGTGCGCGAGTCCTCAGCAACTTGCGTAGCCGAAAGGTAGGGAATCTGCACATGGAGCAGCACGATGCCAACATCCCGGGAAAGGGCAGGGGCAAACAAGCACTCATTGAGGAACTCAAAAGTCGCCTCCCAGGAAAACCTGAACCACCGTCGACGCCTCGCTCCACTCAAGCATGCGGGAACGACAGAAGGAATGCCAAGCCTCCAAGGCAAACACAGGACAGTCTGCCTGCCAGGACGACTCTGGAACTTCCTAATAGACCCAGAAAGGGAACGAAGTTCCAAACCTGAAAGACGACGGATCCATCACCGAGACATAATCCGAGTCACGCAGGAGGTAAGCCGCAAAGGTCCGACTCCAAAACCCTCAGACGTTTCGGGGCCGAAAGCAGGGGAGGGGGGGGGGGCAGAATGAACCACAACAGGGGAAGGACGAGGGGTGCAGACTGAACCAAGGTTGAAGTGACCCCACCCCCAAGTCCGGGTCCCTATAAGCAAAATGGGGCAGTCCCGGGGTATCCGGGTGAGCAACCAACCGAGCACGTTGCAACAACCTAAAGCGCTCATGCAGCGCCTGCGCCGCCTGTACCCGTAGATCATCATTAGACTGGGTAAACTGAGCCACCAGCAAGCAACAGAACTCGCAGGACTCCGAGTCGAAAGTGTCACCGACCCAACAGGAAGCGTGACTGAGGCATAAACCGTGAGGGTCACCCTGAGACAAGGGGACTGAGCAACCCTCGAACACGCACAAAGCGAGGGGGGGGGGGGACTCCCTGGGTCATATCCATCGGACTCGCGCGTCCCCATGGGGTTTCCCAGGGGCCTGAGATGGAACTCACGCTCAGGAAATCCCAGTCAGGTTACTGCTAACCGGCACTCAAAAACTACCAAACAACTTTCTAAAGCTCAACCTCCGGGATGTGTACACTCACGGGAACCTAGCAGAGGGCACCACCAGAAGAACACCATATTAGGCTGGGCACCAAGGGGCAAGCAAGGCAGACTCCCCCCACAAGGCACAAACAAAAACAAAAAGGAAACCCTGCAAGAGGACAATGTACTCCAAGGAACAGAGCCGGCCACTATGAATGGTGAAAACAAGCTGTGCAGCACCCTGCGCCCCTTACCAGTGCAAACTGCCTTTTACCCTAAGGTAAACAAGGGAGACAAAACACCCTTTTTCGTTTTGAATTTTCTTATATTTCTTCGACACAGACGCCGAAGAAATATAAGAAAATTCACTTTCGCAAACAGAGTGGTAGACGGTTGGAACAAGTTAGGTGAGAAGGTGGTGGAGGCCAAGACCGTAAGTAGTTTCAAAGCGTTATATGACAAAGAGTGCTGGGAAGACGGGACACCATGAGCGTAGCTCTCATCCTGCAACTACACTTGGGTACTGTAATTACACTTAGGCAATTACCCAAGCACCCAAAGGGCGGCCGAAAAACCGAGCTGTTAAACAGCGCAGCAGAGGCAGGACCCAAGGAACTTGTGAAAGGTAACCCCAAGCCCCAAGGGCAGTACTTACAGGGCACCTAGGGAAGGGAACCCTAGGCGCATGCAGCCCGAGTACTGAAGAGTAACTCCTGGCTCTCGAACCCCTGGAAGACAGCCACCACACTCTAAGCACAGTGCTGAACAACACCGGAGCCAGAGCACACGACCTCTGCCTCTAGCATCAGCCTTAGAACTGATGGTGGATAGCCGGTGCAAGGGTCTGGGGCTCCCCCTTCCCCCTTTCAGGGAGGGGGGAGCTGCGCAGACAGCGGTGCAGCAACGTGCGACATCATGCTCGTTTCTTTTTGGGGAGTTCTGTCCACTTGTTTGGCTTTTGGTAGCAATTTTCACCAGAATAGGGGTTTGTTTTGGGACACTTACCTTTCTGGGTGCCTGACCCAGTCGATGGCAGACATAGAATGCTTTCAACCATACGGGGGTTTCTATAGGCCACTGCTCCCCTTGCCTCTCTGAACCTGGACCACGAGCCAGGTTTTGGCTCGTGGTCCCCGGTAGGCCATAGAACTCCATACACATGACTGATGCCAAAGTCTGACATTAGCACATCAGCCTGGATAAGCTCCGGGAAGCCAAAGGGGCTCCCCCCTCAGAAAACACACCAAATCAAAATATATATAAATATATCTCTGAATACAAAAATTTAATATTTTAATTCATTTTCCCCAATATCAGGACAGATATTTGTTAACTAAAAGTATGTAAATTGGATACCATTCAGCAATTTTAATATTAAAGTTATATATGTGAACTAGTAATTTCTTACATTGTGGTAAAAATTAAATCACAGTACAGTATTGACTTTTTCCTAACAGGCACAGTACTGTATACATTCTTATTCTCAGTTCAATAACATTCCAATTTCATTCCAAGATACGAATACTGTACAATATCTTTAAAATTTGAGATATTAGGGAAAGCTATAATGAAGGATATTTTAACTCTTGAACACTGACCTCTTTTATTAAAAATTAATAGCTTGCAATACTGTACCTATTAATATCTGACCTCTTCTAAAGATGAAAAAAGAACACTTCACTACATCATTGGTAATTAAACTTACTTTGAAAACAACTGGCTAAGCAAATTTTCCGTAACTTCTGGTAAAACATTGCCGACCCATAACGATGTCAATCCTTCAGGATTTCTTGGACTGAAAAAGATACACAACGTATTAATATAAAAAAACAAACGTTGAATGTAATGAAATGCTTATTTTTTGGGGAGCTTCGGTGCCTCCTAACTAGCCACACTGAGATAGCTCCATAATTACTAGGCGAGTACAATTAGGTAATTTGCACACAAGTCATATCAGCCCTAAGAGTCCATTAATAGCCTACCAGAGACCAGAGGCCAAAACCTGACACAGAAGTGCAGGCAGCACGAGACTTAAGACATCCCCTCACTGAAGAAACAAACTCCCAGAAAAGAACTGAAGCAAAACTGATAACTGAAAGATTCAAAAGAAAGTAAACAAAGCAGCAAATGACTTTGCAAATGATCCACCCAGATGTCAGGTCATTTTCCCTCCATATTAACAGCCGATCATTACCAGGTGGCAACACCACAGAAGCTGCCGGCTCCTATCATCATCAATCCTCAGTTACAAGCTGAACAATTTAGCAGTCCCCGTGGCGCAGTGGTAAAACACTCGCCTGGAGCTTTGCGAACGCATTGGCCTGCATTCGTATCCTGGTCGGGGAGGATTTACTGGGTGCCAATCCTTAGCTGTAGCCTTTTTCACCCAGCAGTGAATGGGTACCTGGTTGTTAAACAATTTAGTGGGTCATATTCAGGGGAAAATTAGGATTAACGACTAGCTCAAAATGTTATGCGTGTTAGTGGCTGTACAAGAATGTAAGAACTCTTGTACATAATAATAAATAAAAAAGGTAAATAAAAAAACCCAGCATTGAATGTAATGAAACGCCATTTTCTGGGTGAGCTCCGGAGGCTATCGGACCAATATTAGCTATATTAGTCTGGGACTTCAGTCATATGGAGTTCTTATGCCTACCGGGAACCATGAGCCAGAACCTGGTTCCTTCAGAGAGGCGAAGGGAGAAATGGCCTATGAAAACTCCACTCTATGAGAGTATATTCATATTTGACACCAACCAGGGTTAAGCACCCAGAAAAGTTGGTGCCCCAAAACAGACCCCAACTGGAAGAAAATTTCATTCCAAGAACTCCCCCCAAAGAAAAACTAGGCAACATGCAAATCTTCATCAACCCGACTCTCCCTGGGAAGGCCCTCCCCCACCCCCGGAACATCATTTCCGAAGCAGCAGAAAATGTCCCGGGTTCAGACACTGAGCAAGCAGCACCTGAAACCAAAGCTGGGCCAGCCTCCATGGGGCCAGAAGAACCCTCCCTTGATAGTACTCCTGCTGAGTCAGAGCCTGGAGCAACAGCTGGACTGGGAGGGTAGAGGTACTCGACCAGTCTTGCTGAAAAGCGTCGACTGCAATGGCTTTGCAGTCGGGGAAGGATGCCAACAGGGGTACAGGTAAACCCCTGTACCTCTTAAACCGTTCCTGGAGACGGTTCATAACCAGAAAATTTGTAAACCAAAGCAAATTTTCCCATAAGAAATAATGGGAAATTTATTAATCCGTTCCTGACTCCCCAAAAACTTCACTTCGAAAGTAAATTTTATACTAATTCACCCAAATCTACACTACAAAAGTATGTTTAAGTTATTACTTACCCTTGCTGACGACTCCTGTTAGCGTATGGAAGATGGTAAGGAGGGGGAGGAGGAGAGATGTTACTGTTTGGAAGGGGAGTCCCGTTCCTATAACATCAGGCAGTGAAGATTTCTCTGGAGTGCACTCTGGCACGTTTTGCCTGCATACCACTAGGTCCTGGTTGTGGCTCTCTGCTTGATTTTCTCACTTTTCTCGCAAGGAAACATTCCATTGAAGATTGTTTTTCCCATCTTTGCAACACTTGTCTGTAGTGAGGCATCACATTGTCATTAAAAAGATCAATGCAATGGCCTACTGCAGCTTTATCTGGGTGATTCTTTTCAGCAAAACTTTCCAGTCCTTCCCATACTGCACACATTTTCTTAATGAAGAAGGGACATTCTCTACTGCCTCCTCTTCCTCCCCTGAAGATTTGTTGTACTGCCTAGCTAGGTCAACAACACGAGTAACATTTTCATGGTTACGAATGATCTCTTGTTTTTCCTCTATGGTCATTCTCACATGTGATTTCTTGCCTTGAACCTTACCACTGGGTAAGAACCGCACCATGGTTCCCAAGAACCATGGTGCGACATATAACAACTTTAATGCTCAAATGGCCAGAAATCCGACAAAAAACTGTAAATTCTTGTGACGAATTCAGGCGGGATAGTCACTGGGTGCCAGGCACTGGTAAACTGAGGCATAATCACCGTGCCACTACGCGCTAGGTCAGCCATACACGTATGAACAAACTCGTATCCCAATTCAAATTTTTCGAACAAATCAAGCTCGTAACCCGAGGTACCACTGTACGTACTGGGAGATGCCTCGACCACGCCGACACGAAGAGGTCCACATCCAGCAAAGTTAACGGAGGAAGTCAGCGTTGACAATCCGTTCCATGGACAGAGGAATGAACCAAGACTGGCCGTTCAACAGGACGTTGCACACGCCCCTGATGTGAAACGCACGGAGAGCTAAACCCCAAGAACTCAGCATAAGAGCTACTCGAAGCGACCATCCCCAAAGAGCCAAGAACCGAAGAGATCCCCATGGCTCAGGCAATGAACCACCGGGGCAGTCCGAATGGAGCCGGATCATAGAGCCTCAAGCAAGCCGAATCTGCCACAAACTCCTGCACCGTGCTGTGATCCCGACGAAGCCCACTGCCCCTGGCCAGCTTGGTGCGCACTGATCACAAAGCCCCAGCCGAGAGAAGAGGCATCCGTGAAATTTTCCAAGGGTTCCAGAAGGTGCCAAGGCACCGAACCCCAAAAAACCCGAAGAGGAGCCCAGAGACGCAGCAACCGATGCAAAGTCCCCGGAAGACGAACCCAGCGATCACGATAGCAGCGGACAGGACGGCCCCGAAGGAACAAGAACAAATGCCGAAGCCGAAGTCAAACCCAACCCAGCGGGAAGACCAGCACAACGAAGTTCAAACTTCCGTACAGCTGCTTGAGCAATTGCCGAGTGACCAGGGACCCTCTTAGGAACAGCTTAAGTCGGGACTGCAGCCGGAGCAACCGGAAAACCGGAAAAACAAAACTGGAACCAACCCAGAGTCGAAACCGTGTCACACTGGAGGCATGCGCCAAGGGCTTCCCAAACCCTCCCAAAAAAATCCAAGAGGAAAAAACCTCCGAAAGAATGAATCTGAGGAACCCCAGGGCACCCGAAAACTAACCCAGGGGAAAACCCTACCACATTTGCTGGCGGAAAATGCACTATGGAAATGTAGAGCGTCAACAGGTGTCAAAAAAAAAAAAAAGAATACAAGAATAAAGTGCAAAGCACGATCTGATAAAAAGCCCCATGGCTAAATCAGGCAGAAAATGGACAGGAAACCGAGGGCCGAAGGCTTGGTAGCTGGAAGAACATACAGGGCATGGGCACTGGGCCCAAAATCGGTGCCCCTAAAAATTACCCCCTGAACCACAGTCAAGAAACACAAAACCGTGAGACAAGATCATCACTCAAAAGTTCCCAGGGAAACAGACAGGGGAGGATGCCATGAAGAAAGAACAAGGCAAAGTTGAGCAGCAGCTGCAGTGTAACCAAGGACAGACCCAAGAATACAGAGCAGAAGTGGCATCCTGAGGAATGGACTGGAAAGCAAACAACACGAACAAAAGGTGGGGGGGGGGGTGAAAAGAACCCCAAAATCCTAAACCTCCAAAGGAGGAGAAAAAGAATCGCATATGTGCCAATGCAGACAAGACAGAGTAGGAAAAAGGGACAACTCAAGATGAACAGAACCCCACAAAGGGACACCAGGGGCAACTGAGCACCAACAGCAGCCTCAGAACCAAAAGAGAACACACCCAGGAACAAAGGGAGGAAGAGGAGGAAAGAAAGGGGAGGCAGAGCTGAGGTGAATGTCACAAAAGGGCCTTTTGGGCCCAGAAGGCCCAAGCTGGGGAAAACAGGCTCCCCCCAAAGCTGCGGGAACCCCCAACAGAGGCCCCAGGACAGAGCTGGCATCAATGCTCTACACCCTTGTAGAAAAGGCAGAGCCCAAGAGAAGGCAGCAAAGAAGGGAAAGGGGGTCTGCTGGGAAGACCCAAAAGCCTCTACAGAAAGATCAGGCTCAAAGGCCTTCATTCGCCGCATCAAATGGGGCAGCCCCCAGGGCTGCCCGAGTCTCATTCCCAACTAAACCCTGCCCCGACTTTGAAACCCTCAGACGTTTGGGAGCCAGCAGCAAGGGGGAAGGGGGGGATTGGAAGAAGCAGGACATACCATGCCAACCAGGAAAGACTTGAGGGCTCAGACAGAACCAAGGTTGAAGCGACCAATGCCTCCAGGTCCCCAAAACCAAAACGGGGCATTCGAGCAGGCGACCAACCTAGTGCATTGCAACAACAAAAACCCACCATGCAATGCGACAGATGTTTGATTCCTAAGATCTCCCTTAGAAGAAAGAGTAAATTGGAGAGCGAGTAGGGAACAAGTCTCGCACAACTTCGGGTCAAAGGTGTTAATGACCAAACAAGCAGCATGACGGAGGAATAACAGATGATCGTCACCCTGAGACAAGGGCAACGAGCAACCTTCAAACTCGCAAGACAGATCCATAGTCATCCGAGCCCTGAAGGGGGTTTCCAGGGCCCGCAGTGGGAGGTGTCCCTATGGGAAACCCAGTCACTGGTGCTGCAAAGCTGACTGAATCCCATCTATTTACCGGGCAAACTGACCCCTGTGAAGGGAGCAACCTCATGGGCCGAGTGGAGGACCACCAAACTTGACCTAGGCATACCTAATGGGAAGTCAGGCATCCCTCCACTAGGCAGGAAAAAAAAAAAAAAGAGCTGAAAAGAATGAAAAGAAACCCCGAAATTGCACCACAACAACTGGATGCCAGAGATAGAGATGGCCGCCGCTTGTATACGAGCTGTGCAGCACCGTCAACCCCAACCTGCTACAAACACTACCTACCCAGGGCCAAACGAAAGCACCA